CAGGGCTCACGGGTACTGAGGCTGCATATCTCAGTAAAGCAGCACTGGAGCCCTGTGGCAGGAAATAAGCCGTCTCCCCTACACTCCTTTCCTGTGCTCGAGGGAGCAAGAGGAATCCTAGAACACTGGAACTGGAAGGGGCCTCGAGAGTCATCGAGTCCAGTCCCCTGCCCTCATGGCAGGACCCAGCACTTCTAGACCATAGGAAAGCTTCCACAGTTCTGAAGAGAATGCCTCAGCTGCCCCGAGAAGTCTGTTCCAATAAAAAGGGTTTGTCTTCTGCAGTCTGGCTTGAGAACAACGAGTCATCTACTCAAAACATTTCCAGAGCCAACTTGGATAAAACCTGGAGCAGAGTGCGCCCAACTGGGGGAGGACATGCCGGGAGCTGTGCTCACGGCATTCCAGCCAATAAACTGCGGCTGTCAAAGAGAGAAGATCCACTCACTGAAGCGACAGGTTACATACTGTAGGTAAGAACGCTGCCATTTCACATGGCCGTTCCTTCAGAGCCCTTCGGGGAAGGCCATCTAGTCCTGGCCATTTACTACTCTTCAGTTTATCAGTTTGTTCCAAAACCTTCTCTAACGGATTCCTCAATCTGGGACAGTTGCTCCGTTAAGTTACCTAAAAAGAATGTCCCAAGTGTGGAAATCCCCCCCCACATCCGCTGCCGGGAAGACTGATGCAAAGAATTCTTTTACCTTCTGCTCAACAGCCTTGTTTTGTTGAAGTGTTCCTGCAGCCTCTTGACCGTCCAGTGGCTCCACTAATTGTTTGGTGGACTTCCTGCTTCTGATGCACTTCACATTTCTTTTGCTCTTAGTTTTTGTGACTTTTGCTAGTTGCTCTTCAGTTTTTTGGGCCTGCCTAATCAGACACTTTCCATTGACTTGCCAGCATTTATGTTGCTCAGTAGAATTTGACTTCCAAGATTTTTTACTCTAACTGCTACTTTTAACTTTGTTTGGTCATGGTGGCATTTTGGATCATCTGACCAGTTTCCGAGGGACATACATGCAGTGTGAACTTGTGTTAGGTATTTAAAAAAAAATGTCCATGCAACTTTCAGGCATTTCTCTCGTGTGACCATTCCTTTGGTTTCCATCTGACTAGCCTCTGAAAAAGCCCAGTAGCTCTCGTTTTTTAAGTAAATTCAAAATTAATTCCTTCATTGTCTGGACTCCTTTCATGTTCCTTCTCTCGTGTGTCATTTCTCAAGTAGCCGGTCCCAGACTTTTCAGCCTCTCTTCATACGAGAGGGTTCCATGCTTCTAATCACTTTCAGCGTGCTCTGATCCCCATCCAATTCTTTACTCTTTACGTTGAGAGACAGTGGCCGGTGTGCCTCCAGTGTGGGGTATGAGCGCACGCTCCCCCCTGCCCCCACACGTCACGGCGTCCACATACACTCCAATTCCCTACTCGGCCTGACAGCTCGTCTCCTCCTCTGCCTGCAGCAGCACACTGAACGGAGGCCTTCGCTGAGCGGTCTCCAGTGACCCCGAGGTCCTTTCCCTGCACCGACACAGTGAGTGTAGAGCTCTGCACGAGGGGTTCAGCTGCACACTGCTTTGCACAGAACAACCACGCTGGGCAGCATTTGCCCTAGTGTGGACTGTTTACCTGGCTTGGTCAGGTCCCTCTGCAGCACCTCACAGTCCTCGACTGACCTGAATAACTTGACAGACTAATAGAAGCGTAGGGAATGTGCGAGGTTATCCAGCCTGGGCGGAGACAGGATAACCCTAAACAAGACCTGTGTTTATAAACATACAGTGATGGGGAGAACACAGCCTCCCTTGGACGCCTATTCCAGAAGAGAACTACTCGTTTCATTGGAGACGTTTTCCTTTTGTCTAATCTAGGTCTCCCTTGGCTTGACTTCTCCTCTTACCGACACGGAGAACAACGGATTTACCGTGCTCTTTGGAGCCGCTCTTAATCTATCTGAAGACTTATCAGGCCTCCTTCAGGCTTCTTTCTTCATGACTAAACATGCCCAGTTTTTTACCCTTTCCTCAGAGGTCAGGTCTTCTACACCTTTTATCATTTTTGTTGCTATCTGCTGGATTCCCTTCAATTTATCCACCTCTTCTAAAAAAGGCAGCCTGAGCGAACTGAGGACGTGTCTACAGTAAGAAATGATTCTGAAATCACTAAATTTGACTTTAGTTCGATTTTGTTAAATCGGAAGTTGAGTGGCCACACATGGGGAAGTCTCAAAGAACTAGAGTGGCCACACATGGGGAAGTCTCAAAATTAGTCCAAGGCAGGCTCCATTAATGGGGACATGCTATCTCGTCTTAGAGCCCCAGGAAGCACTGGGGAGTAATTCGTTCAAATTAGTCTGCAGAATAGTTATTTCAAAATAGTGGCACCGGAGCGTGCACACTACCGCTATTTGAAATTAGCGTTACTTCTGATGAAAAGCAGGAGTACAGATTTTGAATTAAGCTGCCCGTTATTTTGAAATAACAGGCTTGGTAGTTTGGGGACACTGCTTATAAATTCCACCTAACGGGAGGTTATGATGAAATAAAGTCCTAGTGTAGACCAGGGCTGAGTTTGCCTCGGAGGAGCCCCATAGAAGATTTTTTTTTCTTTTTTTGGTCCTTCGTTAGCATAATACTTTGCATTTGCTTTTCTTGAATTGTATCTTCTCGTTTTCAGACTAATTCTCTATTCTGTCAAGGTCCTCTGTGTCTTCTGCAAGTTTTACTATTTCATTATTCCAGGTAATTACATTTATTTAGTAACACCTGACCTAGTAAAGAACCTGCAAGCTCCAGGCTGTTCACCTTTTGATTCAATGAAAACTGACCATTTATTCTTACTCTGTTTCCTATCTCTTCCCTAGTTTTTGATCTATGACAACAACTTACCTCTCATCGCACAGTGACTTAGCTTCTTTAGTAGCCTTTTGTAAGGGACCTTAACAAAGGCCTTTTGAAAGTCAAAATAACCTGTCAACCAGTTCTCTTTTATCCAGCTAAGCCACTTAATACCTGAGCTCCTTCAGAACCCTTGGATAGGTACCGCCTGGACTGGATGACTTCCTGGTTTTTAAATCATCCATTTATTTCAGCACATCGTTTTCTGACATCACCAATCTCTGAGAACCTCACCTTAATTGGAATAGGTCAGGGATAGACATCTCCCCAGTATTCTCTGTGGTGAAAACTGACACACAGAAATTATTAAGCCTCTCAGCAACTTTAAGTTTTACACAGAGATTACTGTGAAATTCCCCAGTTCCCACCAACAGAGAACAGTCACTGAAATACTGTGTCACTACAGCAGTGGTGTGTATTGAATGACTTCAGAACATTCAAATAAAGAGAGGTTTGCCTGACAGCCCCATCAAAGGGATAATGGGGAGCTGATGTTTCCATTTCTAGAATTTTAAACATTTCTTTTTATTAAAGCTCTACAAAAGGAAACTGTCTGCTCATAGCCCCGTCAGGAATTCAGATCACTGTACAGTGCATATGGTTGTGAGAAGCATTCACATTGCTAGAGACTGCTCAACCCTCCTTACCCTGTGGCAGAGGAAATTTATACTGTTCACTGGCTTGGAATGGACAGTCGTGCTGCTGAAGATTGTTTGGGGACATTCTTGCAAGGGCGATGGGGTAGTCATACTGTCCGAGATGGGGCTGCAGGGGCATGATGGGCTACTGGCACATCGAATGCAAGAGTCCATCAACCCACTGCCCACTAAGGAGCCCAGAGCTGGTTGGAGCAGGCCTTAGAGTGCATCATTAATGCTGCATTAGCAGGGAACATTTAGATCTACTATTCAGGGTGGACGCTGAGATATAGAGCGAGGTGCCTGTATAAACAGGACATACAACCACTTTTGCATTCTGGTGGCACTTTGAGAGAGTCTGGCTGTAGCTCAGAGCAGACGGTCCCAGCTGAATTCCCGGAGAAGATTCTCAGTACAAATGCTACAGTCCTCCCATGGGAATGCATCAGCTAATGGAGAAAAAGTCAGATATCTACTAGCCTCCGTAGAAGCAGCGAATCTATGAAATCTCACCCAATGTTGAGTTCTGCACATTCTCCAGATGGAAAGGGCATAGCGGCCAGGAGCAAGCAGGCGAGGCTGCAGAAACTACAGTTCCTGGCTGCTCAGCTGAAGGGAGAAGAGAGTCCAGGAGCTGATGGAAATGCTGAGGGAATTCCCAGGGAAGTTTATGCTCATGCAGCAGGGGTTCTCTGGGTTCTCTTATCTGAACACTCACCACCACCCAGGTTTGCCCCATTCCTAAATCCTCAACCAGATTCCTTGAAGTGCTATAATACAGTCAGCAGTGGGCATTGCAGAGTCCTGCCTTGAGTGCAGGGGACTGGATTAGACAATCTCTTGAGGTTCCTTCCAGTCCTACATGTCTATAATTCTGTGTGTGTGTAAAGTATCAGAGGGGCAGCAGTGTTAGTCTGAATCTGCAAAAGCGGCGAGGAGTCCTGTGGCACCTTATACACTAACTCAAGTTAGTCTATAAGGTGCCACAGGACTCCTCACCACTTTTGTCTGTGTAAAGAAGCTTTTCCTTTATCAATTTCAGTTTTTTGTATTTTTAATTCATTGGATTCCCCCCTTTTTTCATGGACTGTCAGAATGTAAATAGTGACGACTTACGTTCTCTGTAGCAGGAGAGATTTGATATGCCTTTAACATGGTCCCACCTATTTGACCATTCTCTACACTAATGTATTTAATCTCTTCTCGTGTGGCAGGCATGCTTGTAATCACAGCTGCTGCCATCCTGGACGCTGCCCGCCTCTTCTCAGGAAGGGTAGGAAGCTGGTATTCAGGTTACAAACAGTAGGGAAGAAGCGGAGAGGGAGGCAATACCTCATTTTACAGTAGCTGAGCAGAAAAAAGAGTGTGACTCAATTTAGTACGATGTTAAGCTGCTAAGCAAAGCACGTTTTCCTTCGTAAGGAAAGAGCCCGAGAAAACCCAGCTGAGAGTCTGTGGATTTACTTACTGCATTTCCAGCTTCTGCAGCCAGCCTGGCAGCATATCGGGCGATCAGTCTGTGCTCCTCATCCAGTCTGCTGGGGCTGTCCAAGACACTGCCAAGGGAACAAAAAGTCAACCCAGCCCCATCGATACACATAGCTACACTGCACCATCAAAGACAAGGCTGCATTCTTATGTAGAATCACATTAATGTGAAATGAACCCCCCCCCCATTAGAAACCATCTAGAAACCATCTCCCAACCTACATCCCCCAGGGATGTGCCCAGCCTAGTTTTAAACATTTTAAACAAAAACGTTTCCAAAACGTGATGAAAAGATTGTTAAACATCATAATGTTTTCCCAAGAACATCTGAATAGACCACGCTCATTCCCGAAATGAAAGGTGATTCAATGGAACGAGGAAGGTGGAAGGCCCTGCGCTTGTAAGCGCTACATGGCAAACTGAGAAAGGCTTCCAAAAAGAAAAGCTGTGTAAGTCGTGCTGACTCGAGAAGAATTTGCTCTGGAACGGAACAAGACAAAGCGACATGCAGAGACACAGCTTTTAGGCCAGCGTGGCGGAAGTAACATGGACAAGGCAGGCGAGGAATCGAGTCTGAGATCTGAACTTGTGCTTCGCTCCCTGGCTGGCAGCGGCTGCAGCTGCCACAGAGACAGCACTTTCCGAGCCTGAACTGACCTGTCTGCCGACAGCGGCCAACCCTAGGGACCCTGGAGGGGATGGACCGAAGACAATGACCAAGCCATTTGTCTCGTGCCATCCCTCTCCAGCCTTCCACAAACTTTGGGCAGGGACACCACTCCTACCCTCTGGCTAATAGGACTCCATGGACCCAACCTCCATGACTTGATCTCACTTCCCTTTAAACTCTGTTCTAGTTGTAGCCTTCACAGCCTCCTGCAGCAAGGAGTTCCACAGGTTAACTATTTGCTTTGTCAAGAACAACTTTCTCTTACTAGTTTCAAGCCTGCTACCCATTCCTTTCCTTTGGTGTCCTCTAGTCCTTCTTTATGGGAACTCAGGAAGAACTTTTCTGAATGCACCCTCTCCACCCAACCCCTGCTTTTAGAGACCTCTATCCTGTCCCCCCTCCGTCTCCTCTTTTCTAAGCTGAACAGTCCCAGTCTCTGTAGCCTCTCTTCATCTGGGACCTGTTCCCAACCCCTGATCATGTTAGTTGCCCTCCCCTCTCCCAGCCTTTCTCTTCCCCTCTCCCACCTCCTTTTCCCAGTCTCCCCCAGTTTTTTTCAATAAAGACAGAGTCAATGTTGGAAGAAACGTTATCTTTATTTTGTACATCAAGAAGAAGGGGGGCTAGGGAAGGGCAAGTGGAAGGAGGTGAGGGAGGAATGGGGTACGAGCCCCCGATGGGGAGGACTGGGCTGGCTCTGCGGGCTTCTGGGGGTGGAAGCTCTCCTGCAGCCCCCCAATTACTCCCTCTCCCCAGATGGCAGCCTGCGGCAAGTGCAGCCGGGCTGATGGCCGAGTGGTGTGATGTGCCCAGTGTGGGCACTCAGGGCACTCCAAGCCAGAACTTCTTTGCAAGCGGGGCACCCCTTAGAACTGTGTGTCCGGGGTGGGGGTCGGGACCCTTTAAGCGCAGCCCTCGGCTAGCCTGAGACAGCATCTCCATGCTCTAAGTCCTCCTTTTATGCCCTGCCGGCACTGCTTCCGGCCATCATTAAGCCCTGTTCAGAGTCCACTCAATGTGGACTTACTAGTTCGAACTAGCAAAACGCTAGTTCGAACTAGTTTTTAGTTCTAGATGCGTTAGTTCGAACTAGCTTAGTTCGAATTAACTAATTCGAACTAAGTTAGTTCGAACTAGCGCTGTAGTGTAGACATACCCAAAGAGTGTGACTCAATTTGGTACGATGTTAAGCTGCTAAGCAAAGCACGTTTTCCTTCGTAAGGAAAGAGCCCGAGAAAACCCAGCTGAGAGTCTGTGGATTTACTTACTGCATTTCCAGCTTCTGCAGCCAGCCTGGCAGCATATCGGGCGATCAGTCTGTGCTCCTCATCCAGTCTGCTGGGGCTGTCCAAGACACTGCCAAGGGAACCTCAATTTGGTACGATGTTAAGCTGCTAAGCAAAGCACGTTTTCCTTCGTAAGGAAAGAGCCCGAGAAAACCCAGCTGAGAGTCTGTGGATTTACTTACTGCATTTCCAGCTTCTGCAGCCAGCCTGGCAGCATATCGGGCGATCAGTCTGTGCTCCTCATCCAGTCTGCTGGGGCTGTCCAAGACACTGCCAAGGGAACAAAAAGTCAACCCAGCCCCATCGATACACATAGCTACACTGCACCATCAAAGACAAGGCTGCATTCTTATGTAGAATCACATTAATGTGAAATGAACCCCCCCCCCATTAGAAACCATCTAGAAACCATCTCCCAACCTACATCCCCCAGGGATGTGCCCAGCCTAGTTTTAAACATTTTAAACAAAAACGTTTCCAAAACGTGATGAAAAGATTGTTAAACATCATAATGTTTTCCCAAGGACATCTGAATAGACCACGCTCATTCCCGAAATGAAAGGTGATTCAATGGAACGAGGAAGGTGGAAGGCCCTGCGCTTGTAAGCGCTACATGGCAAACTGAGAAAGGCTTCCAAAAAGAAAAGCTGTGTAAGTCGTGCTGACTCGAGAAGAATTTGCTCTGGAACGGAACAAGACAAAGCGACATGCAGAGACACAGCTTTTAGGCCAGCGTGGCGGAAGTAACATGGACAAGGCAGGCGAGGAATCGAGTCTGAGATCTGAACTTGTGCTTCGCTCCCTGGCTGACAGCACTTTCAGAGCTTGAACTGCAGGTGCTGAATTGGGCCATAGGACCACAGGTGCAGAGGGGTACGGACGTCACACCACTCTGGAAATACTACTCAGATACACCTGGGTACCCACCCCTGCGATAAACCCTGGTGCCAGCTCTGACCACACGTCTACACAAGCGACACCACCACAGGACCTAACCACATGAGCCACAACACTGGGGCTCACACACCTGCACGTCCTCTAACGTGATCTAGGCCATCAAGTGCCAGCAATGCCCCTCTGCCATGGCTATTGGCCAAACTGGACAGTCTCTGTGCCAGGATAAATGGACACAAGTCAGACACCAGGATGGTAACGCACAGAAACCTGTTGGGGACCAGTTCAACCTCCCTGTTGGGGACCAGTTCAACTGCTCCCGATTTGGCATCTCAGCTGTGTCTCAGTCCTTGGAACGCTTTCTCTCGTGTTAAAATGCTTCCAAAATTGATAATGCCAAGGAGAAAGCCGCGCTTTCCTCAGGAACACGGTCTTGCCACGGTCAGAGCTCACGAATGCAGAAAGGTTCTGGAGTTCAAACCTGCCTCACACCCTAGCCGCCCACCTAGCAACCAGCGGAGCTGAGGCCTCACTCGCACACCCACAAGACACAAATGACCTTTTGGCGCAATACACAGGCGCTGTATCTAAGGGTGTGGAACAGCAATCCATGAACCGCCAGAGACTGGACTCCTGTGTCCTACAGAAAACCCGCTCTGAAACCAATCCCTCAGTCTTGCTCTTGGCTCTCCCTCCCAGCACCAGAGCAGCAAAGCTCCCAGAGCTCAGCACGTGTGGACGTAAGCGCAGCCGAAGCAGGGAAGAGTGAGCCCTCCCACTACCACACCGGCCTGCACAGGCTGTTTGCAGGAAAAGCGAAGGTGCTTCCAAGTAAGCAGGGATGTAACAGCATCGTTCCCCTGCTTGGAAGGCTGTGGGCCTCTGTGCCCTGCTCAGCGTGCAGCATGGACACACACCCGCCAGAGGTGCCTGGCAGAGCCTGCCTCCCGTGGAGGAGAACGGCACCCGTGGACGGGGGAGAAGGAGCATGTCAGGGAAGAGCTGGGAAGCAACGACTGAGCTTCACCGTGCTCGGTCCTTCCCTGGGACCAAGCGCCTGGTGCCAGCAGCACAAGTCCAAGCACGGTCCTGCTCTAACTCATGCTGGGCCCAGGCAGCCCCAAGCCAGGCTGCCGCAGCTCACACCGGAGAGCGCAGGCCACGGTCTCCACGGGATTCTCAACAGCCTCCCCTGGAAGCCGAGCACTTGGGCAGCCCCCCCGGGGAGATTCAGGTGCTGCCCAGCTGATCAGCAAAGCACTCACAGCCGCCCGCAGCGGGCAGCACATTTATTGGTGGTGCACCTCTGCACTTGCCTTGCTGCACTTAACAAAATCTATTCCACACATGGACGGAAAAATTCAGAGGGAACACCGACCCCTGAAGAGTAAGACGCTTGAGGGCATCCCAAACACGAAATAGGCTGCAAAAGGCATGCTGCCCAGCTGATCAGCAAAGCACTCACAGCCGCCCGCAGCGGGCAGCACATTTATTGGTGGTGCACCTCTGCACTTGCCTTGCTGCACTTAACAAAATCTATTCCACACATGGACGGAAAAATTCAGAGGGAACACCGACCCCTGAAGAGTAAGACGCTTGAGGGCATCCCAAACACGAAATAGGCTGCAAAAGGCAGCAATGGAAAAGACCATCAGAATCAATGAGAAATGTTAGGTCCTACCAGAAACCAGCGAGACAGACTGGTGTGTGAGGGCAGCAACACAGATGAGAAACAGAAATACTCCGCCGGGAGAACAGAAAAGCTCCTCTGAGGGAGCAGGCAGAGAGCTGGCTCTTTCCTACTTGGGAAATATGTTCTTGGAGCCCCTTCTGGAGCAGTGGTGGGCAACTGCCGCCTGAGGGCTGCAGGGGACCCATTGGGGCTCTCTGTATCACCACGGGGCTCATGTGAACCTGAGACCTTTGGAGCCTCGACAGCTTGAGCTATCAAGCCAGCTGCCTCCCAGCTTGGGCTGCAGAGCTCCCCTGTTCTTCTCTCTTGCTGTGAGTGGTCTAAGTGCCATTGGATAAGAGCGGCCAGACCGGGTCAAACCAAAGGTCCATTTAGCTCAGTGTCCTGTCTGCCGACAGTGGCCAGTGCCAGGTGTACCAGAAGGGAGGAACACAACAGGGAATCCTCATGTGATCCCTCCCGTCACCCACTTCCCGACAAACAGAAGCCAGGGGCACCATTCCTACCCATCCTGGCCAATAGCCATTGATGGACCTAACCTCCAGGAATCTATCTAGCTCTTTTGAACCCTGTTAAAGTTCTAGCCTTCACCACATCCTTTGGCAAGGAGTTCCACAGGTTGAAAGTGTGCTGAGCAACAGGAAAAGCCTCCTTGGAGTGCGTCCCTGCACTGCTGTACCCCCTGCCGGGGGAGGGGGAAGGGGGCAGAGAAGTGGCACCATGCAGGGAGCCTCAGGGATTTCACCCCCCACACACACAGGAAGCCAGCGCTGGTTGGCACTTCAACCTCATGGGGGGGAGGGGAGCCACCAGAGAGAGGGGGGTTGGCGAGCAGGGGGCACAGCCCCCAGTGATGTTTTTAAAAAAATGATAGAAAGTGGAGTGAAGACAGCTGGTCCAAGTATCTTCCTTTTGTGTCTCCTATGGCTCCTGGTTTGATTCCAAGTTGCACACTTACGGGTGGCGGCCAGTCAGAAAATATAACAAACAAGATTTATACTGTCTTGTCCGGGGCGCCTCTTGGACCCAGTGGACCGAGCGCAGGGGTGGGCAATCATTTTTGATGG